AAAGCCCAAAATCATGTGCTCTCTAGTATATCATCATGCTCTCACAATTCTTGTCAAACGTTTTCTACATTTTCGCAGGTTGGTAGTTCGTGGGATAAATGGCCTTATACTCTGAGTCGTCTAGCTATGCTGGATGGTTCGGTGAAATTCTCTTCTCAACCTTCTTACGCACCAAATGATGTTATTGAGCGCATCGGAGGCAGAGTGATATACTACAAGTATGTCGCCTTTTTTTCATATACCTGAAGCATTTTGAAAACGTTTACATTTTACTGCTTATCTTTTTGCAGCATAGACTTCGCGTTTTTTCTAGTTTTTGACTGTCTGGTTATTCCAGGGATAGCGCGGAGGCACCAAAAGAGCTCTCTGTTGAAGACAGAAAGCAGATCCAGATTAAAGAAAATGGCCAAACTATGACAGCTGCTGCTCGCAGGAAAGAGCGGCCACTACGGATACAGATGAGTAGTATTAGTGAACCATGATCTAATGCAAATATTTAACAATATTACACTTCTGTTTCTTTGCCTTTATCGCACAGGTTGTCCATTTAATTTGTCTTAACCATGTGAAAAGGTTGACGGGCGGTGTTGATCTCATTCACAGTTAGTAAAAATACAGATTTTCACACCCGTTGATCTTGCTTTGGGAACCGGTTCTTAGCTGCTTGTTGATTTGTATATTCAAAAATTCATGAGGACTTTTATAGCGATATATCAACATGTATTCGAGTGTCTATCCTTTGCAACGTTGTATTGCTCTTCGAATTCGAGTGTGATTCTGCATGCTAAAAGAAAGGTATCGTCTTTGATAGGTCGTCCTGTTTCTTTCATTGTATGTTGAAGCACGTGTGTCTTTGAATTTGTTTTTGATTTTTGCCAGCAATCACTATCTTGGATGAATTAGCTTGAGGTAGCTCAGCACTTGTAACACTTATGGTTCATAACTCGCTTCTGAATATTTATCGAACAATAAAGATTTCTACTCTTGAGTGTGGTTCAGGTAACTGTAGTGTTCTCGATACTTCTTTCAAAGATGTTATCGTTTGACCTTATGACGTCTGCAGTTTCGATTTCGTTCTACTTTCAAGTTAAAGGCAGCGTCCAAGCAAATCTGGAAATATGGGGACCTTACGTGGGAAGTAATCTTAGGATCCTAAATAAGACACTGCCCAAGCGGCAGCTCAGATGGTGC